GATGTGTACTATTTGTGTTATGGCAGACAAAAGTTGAGTACCCTGAAGAAAAAGGTTGTGGGAATGGGTGGTGCACACAAGAAAGAATTAACATGAGGTCCTGTTAAATCCAAGTTCATAGACATCACAAGGGTATCCAAGTTTTCAAATACATTTTCCCATTGGGGACATTACACTACTAACCATAGCAAGCCATCCCTGACCTCAATGAGCCCATATCTGCCTCACATTCCAGGTTTTTGTAGTTCTTTTAAAAGTTCAACTGATTTAGTAGTTGCAACACTGTTCCAAATCTAAAGTCTCTTCTGGGAACCAAGGCCATCTCTTCACTGTGAATCCTTATGAAAACAAAACACCAAGTCATGCATTTCCCACCTACAAAGGCTCAGAGTAGTTGTGTGAATTCAGAATGGGAGAAACAGGGACTGTCCTAGTTTCATCTATGTTTCTGAGATAAATACAGCCCAACAACATTAACTTTGGAGGGCAACTGTTTGTTTAGTTTACAATTCCAAGTAACAGCCTATCATTGAGAGGGCATCAAGTCAGGAAGTTCAAATGGCTAGGCATATCATATCCACAATAAAGAGCAGAAGCATGTACCAGAAGTTCACTTGCTTTCTCTCAGCTTGATGTCTTTACTTGTAATAATTTAGCTCCCTAACTAAGAAATGTCACTGCCTACAATGAACTTAATCAAGACCTATTCACATGCAGACATGTCAACAAGATGACTACATGTAGACAATTTCTCATTGAGACCCACTACTCAGATGATCCTAGTGTTAAGTTGACAACTGAAGCTACCATCACAGAGACACAGTAAAGGAGGGTCAGACCAAAGCAAGCCTGGAACTCAGAGGGTCAAACATCAAATGCTTAAGCTTCTTCCATGTTTGGTTGGCATCTTGAGCTCAAGATGGCACCATCAGGGCTCAGTGGACTTGGCAAGTCTTACCTTTCTAAGGCTGTTTATTTCTGGACGGTATCTCTATCAACCAAGTTCTGCTCATCACCTGTAGCTCTTATTGGTGGACACCCACATTTCTGGCATCTCTAATATCCTGAGGTCCATTGCAGCTTAGGGTTACTCCTTGCTGCTTCCTGCACAGCCCATTCAAGAGTTTTATGTTGCCTGGCCTCAGCAGCTCTGCAATCTCATCACAAGCCTCATTTATACTCTTACTGATACATCCTGTATCTCTCCAAAATTATCATCATTTGTATGATACCAGAGTTCTGCTGCCAGTTTGAGGTTTAGCCAAGGGCTCCTTCTACAACAGCCACAGAAGTCTCTGAACACTTCCCTGTAATAAATTAGGGAAACATTTTTTTTCTAGAAAAGAACAGTGATTTGCATTCTTCCCTGAGTCTCAAAAAGACTGGATATTTAAGCTGGCCAAACTTGGGTTCTTAGTTTCTAGACACTGTTCCTATTATTCAGGTATAATAAAAAGGGATTTTCTCATTTGTCAGTCTCTCTAATGTCATAACAGTGACCTTGTCTCTTGTCATTACAACATTAACTCCATTTATACCCCTTCTTCACCAAACCACAAGTTTCAAAACTTTCTGTTTCCCTTGCTGTAATCTAAAAACAGTGAGTGACCAGCCCAAAACTCAATGTTATGCTATCTTGGAATTGCTTTAGTAGAAAACTTAGTGTAATATTTTTTATTTGTCCACATTCAAACTTCCAGGGCATGTGTAGAATGTATCCAGATACTTCATAGACTACCACATATAGTCTCTAAACCTTGTGGGGAATATCTTCTGTATGCTGAGAATATTTGTTTTGCTTATTAGATGATGAATAAAGCTAATTTGGCCAATGGTTAGGCAGGATGTAGCTCAGAAGGATGTATAGCCAGGGTTTCCAGACTAAGAAAATTTTTGGAAGAGGAGCAGGAGCCAACAGGAAGAGGCCGTATAATTGCTGAGAAAGCAAGAGGTTCTGGAATCATGGGATAAGCCATTAGTTCATGAAGATATATACAGATTAATATAAGTCAGCTAACAATTAAGTAAGAGTTTACAATAAGAAACATAAGTAATCTCTCAAAAGTTTATAATTAATATAAGACTCCGTGTGTTTTATTTGGACTAAACAACTGCAGGAACTGCGGGACAGAAACCCATGCACAACGAAATTCTGGCTGTCCTCTTGAGTCTCACAGACTGGACCTCATTGCCATAAAAAGAGAGAACATGAGACAGGTTTTATTTTAAACTTTGAAGAAGTAAGTTTTATGGTGGAGAGAATGTCAAATGGTGGGTGAGGAACTGTGCTTCCTATGATCCCTAAACTGAAATCTATTCCTACTATCTCCCTGCTCCCCTTTCACAGGCTGGTTCTCCAGATAGTTACCTTCTTCCTCTACTGAAGAAGCACAGCCTCCATTCCAAAGTCCCTATCTTTCTGGGGTTCATGATTCTCCTCCTCCCTTATGTGGACACATGGATTCAGTCATGTACCAGGCTGTGAGCTACTCATCAGTCCTACAGGGAATTGAGAGCAACTAGACAAACAGACTACAGCTTCTAGAGACAGGAACCTACTGCCTCCACTTCTTTGTGATCCTCCATGGACTGTAAACACACCTCATGTGGAAAACAGAACATAAGGATCCATTTCCTATATTAGTAAAGAGAACTTGGATACCACAATGGTCAGGACTGGGGGCTGAGCTGGGGGACTAATTAGAGAAGGCTTACAGCATCAGGTCAGAAGGTGAGAGCTGACATGACCAGAAGCAAAGGGGAAATGCAGGCTTCCCTTCAAAACCCTGGAGAGGGGTTCCATCAGAAGCTTAAAGCAGGTGAATAACAGAGGCAGTGGAACCATACAGAATGGGCAGGGTGAAGGAGGGAATAAAGGAGAAAGAGAGCCTTCAGAGGCATCACCTGAACTAAGGGACTATGTGACTTCCAAAGCCTTTCACACAGGAAATGGGACATTCCAATTATGAACACAGTGTCAAGGGCCAGATGCTGACAATGATCTCAAATTTATCTGGCAGCTCTGTGTGGGAGAGGCCGGGCTTGCTTCCATCCCCTATGGGGTCTATGTGATTTCACAGCAGGGACCTGTCTGCTGCAGGGGCATAGCTTTGTTTCTGGGAGCAAGGCAAGTATAGCACTTGAGATCTAGTGGAGCTTGGCAGCAAGTACTGTAAATCAGGAGTCAGGAGACTGGCACTTCATCTCCTTACAGATGTCAGACAGGAAACACAGAGCAGAAGCAGAAAGAAATGGGACTGAGGGAGAGAACCCTACACTCACCACAGAGTCCATTTTCTTCAGATAAGCCCCACCTGATAAATGTTGCATAGTCTCTGCAAACACAGCATCGTGGGGCAAAGTGTTGAAACACATAATCCCATGGGGATCTTTCTCACACAAACCATAACTGTGTTATTTAGTCAGTTTAGTCATGAAACAGTTTATTCACATTTTTAAAATCTTCCTTTGAGCACTCCATCCCCACCCATTACCCCCTGCAGCAGGCGAGAGACCTGGCTCTAGGAGTGGCAGGGGTAGCTTTGGTCCTCACAGGCTGTAGCACACAAGAGTGTGTGCTCTGCACACACTGGAACAGACTCCATTGTCCAGAGACTCAGGTGAGTAGGCCCTAAGGGCATGACAGCAGGGGACCTGACCACACTCCACCCTCATCTGCCATACTGTGTCATGGGTGAGGGAAGGATGCCCTCTCCCCTGCACCCCTTGCTCTATGAAGCTGAGAAAGCTGGCTCTGGAGTCACTAGAGTGAGAAAAGGAGCCCTACCCCTCACTAGCTACAGCACAAGAGAACTGAGTCTCCACACCCTTCCTGGGAAGTACACTAGAGCTGATCCTGTTGTCCTGGATATGGGTGAGCCAGCCCTGGGGGGTGTGAGAGCAGGTGATCTGATCCCTTTCCTTCTCCATAGGTCCCCTACAATAATTGTTGCCTGGGCAAAATAGTTGATCTGGCCCTGGTGATGGGCATGTGGGTGAGCCGGATAAGAGGACCTGAGAGCAGGAGAAGTGGCCCCACTGCTTAATTCATGTATTGGTGAGCTTGCCAAGGCAGTGTTGGAGAGCTTGCCCTGCACGGATGATGAGAGAAAGCTGGCACCTACCATCCAACTTTGAAATGTTGGAGCATGTGAAACAGCAGGATCTACATGACACAGGACAATAGCAGGTTACTAAAGAGCAACCACAGTGAGATCCCATTAACAGTGTTGTAGCAGAAGCCAGAGGCCTTGAGCAAGACAAATTGCTCCAATGACTGGTGGCAATGAACAGTTCCAAGTGAAGATAATATTCCAAGTGAAGACAATATTTGGGAATTTGGGCATTGTTCTTTCCAAACTACTACCTGCTGGTAAGGGGCGCTGTCATGGGGGATTCTTAGAAGATGCAGAATTCCTGGCTGTAGTCTGTAAGGCTTCTTTGTCCATCTGTTTTGAATGTAGGATCACCTGGTACTCTGTTTCAGGTGGTCTGGCTTGATCAAACCACATTAGTCTGGAAGGAATCCACAGCTTTTCATTTTCTATGGAAACAAAAATAGAGGAATCCACAGCTTTTCATTTTCTATGGAAACAAAAGTAGAAATCAAGGGAAGACACTTAAATGTTTCTCATGACATTTAGTGAAACCCATCCCCTTTATCCAGAAGATCTTCAAGGCAGGGTCACTCATTCAAGGCTCCATAGCAATGTAGAATGTCCATCTGACTGCTGTCAACCAGGGAACAAAAAGAGGACAGTACCGGCAGTGAAAATTCTTCAGGTGTCCATGTAGACTCTGCACTTGACCTCAACTCCCATGCTCCAGCAGACATTGCAGAGACAGGAGCAGGTAGAAGGCCATCTCCTTCCTCTACCTCCAGCAGCTCCATGACATCTGAAAAGAATTCTAGGACAAGTACAAGGACATACACAGAGTTGACACTGTCAATCATCATTTCTGTCCTCAAGGCAAGATAAAAGCCTGCGACATGAACAGAGTAGGAAGCAACAGCAATGGCACTCAGGGCAAAGGCAGATGTGTGGCTGGCAATACCCTGGCAGTGCCTGCACAAGAAGAGGGCAATGGGCACCACAGCAGCCCTTGCCCCTAACACACTGCATCCCTTTGAAGCCATACCACAGTACTCCAGAAACAGGTGGCTGAAGATGCTCCAGATCCTGAGGGAGCAGGGCCAAGAGAACTTGCACCTGGAGATGCATCAGGCCTTCCAGGAGCTGGGGCCCATTTTCAGGTAAGGGACTTCTGGACCCATAGCTAAGCACAGTGAGAGCTTGATGGCCTTCTGCTTGTTGAGGCTCTGCAGGGAGGAGGTGCTGCTGCACTTCCCAGTAGGCACCAGGCACTCCCTCCTTAGGAAGACAGGGAGCACAGTAGGTTATGCTCCTGACTCATGGAGGCCATGCTATTCCACATGCACATCACTGACCTCACAGAATGCCAGAGGGCTGAGGTGGTGAGGAGTCAGGCAGACAGTGGGGGAGCCTTCCTGCACGGACAGCAAGGGCTAGGAGAGGATGAGGGGAAAGAACACCCAGTCAGGGCTGTTTTCATGGCGCTCAGGTAGAGTGCATTCCACCCACTGGAGGGTCTGTTCTTCACCCCATAGGTACAGCATAGGAAGAACACAGATTGTGTCTGTGATGTTGCCAGAGGATGCTGAGAAGATATCCCAGGTAGACAGTACAGAGCCCTGCCGCATGCCCTTGGAACCATGGGTAGCCCACAGAGAACATCGTGGCCTGAGATGTGGAGTGTTCTTGCTGTGAGTGGTCACTGGGAAGGACCAGGGAGGTGAGACTATAGTCCTGAATACAGGATGCTGAACTGGCTGGGGCTAATGTGAAGACCAGTCATTAGCAAGCACTGATTTGTACCATGTGATGATGTTTGTTGTTCTGGTGAGGAAGGAGACAGCCAAATAGATGTAAGAGAAACTATGCTTCTTCATCCAATCCTTGCTCTGATCTGGTCTTTCCTGGGTATGATTCTCTTTCCAATAGCTAATAACAACACTCCAAGAAAGTTAAGGTGTGTGTGTGGGGGGGGATCCACTGACTTAAGGCCAAAGCCATCATCTGCCCCAACCTGATGTCTCACAATGCAGTCTCACTTCCCTAGGAGCACCTTCACCCAAGGACATGTGTCCTAGGCCATTCAGGGATGAAGGGATGGAGAGAAAGAAGTTGGTGGCACTTGTGGGCTCACCACCAAACATTGAATTGACTGGTGAAAGTGGGGAGAATGGGATCCTGCATCTGGGTGCATATCTGGAGAGGCAATAGGGGCCCTGCTTGCTTGGGCTACATGAGCACTAAAGAGCTTATTACTAATGTCAAGAAATAGGATCAGGTTGTGAACAATGATCTGAGAGCACATAAAGGCAGTATTTTCTTAGTAATGATTTAGAAAAACAAGTTCCTGGAAGTTTGAGGGAAGCCATCTGGAAGGAAATGCTAAACAGGAGTGGAGGCAGAGCCATGTGTACATGTATGTGCACAGGTCTTGCATGGGTATATTTGTAGTATGTAACTTGTTACTATTTATTTGAAAGTGTGGCTGTGTGACTAATTCCTTCCCTGAAGGAATGTGTATTTCCCTCCGTGTCCTGGGCTGTTCTTTTAGGTCTATGCATATACAGACTTAATTGTCACAAACATTTTTCAGAATCTCATGAGATCCCTGTGCCCTGGGCTGTGGTTTGTGCCCTGTTATAAGGGGTCCTCTGCTGTGGCTCCTACCCTAGGGAGGATGAGATCCCTTAGCTGAGACAGGCAGATGCTGGTGACTCAGAGACCACACATTGGACAGGACTGACATGGTTGGTGAGCTCAGCTAGGGCTTCTCCTCTGTGGGCAGGTGGTGCAGGCCAGGTGGACAGAGCTTGACAGCATGGACTCCTTTCTCCATGGCTGTGGATGTTAGACTTAGTGAACTCTGTCCAACCCATGGAAGTTGTGTTTGTAGAAAGAATTGGGAACAGGACTAGCAGAGCCTGCTTCTGAGCCTGGCACATCTTTGCCCCAATTTCTTTGAGGCAGAAAGATGGGCACAGGCCTGGGCCAGACTTATCGTAGGAGGTGTCTGTAGCTCTGTTCTGTGTCCTGCAGAAATGGGCCTGAATGGCGTGTCAACCGAATGAGGCTCAACCCACATGTGCTATCACCAAAGGCTGTTCAGAAGTTTGTCCCCATGGTGGACATGGTAGCAAGGGACTTCTTGGAGGCCCTGAAGAAGAAGGTGCTGGTGAATGCCCATGGCAGCTTCTCAATGGACTTTCATTCCAGTGTGTTCAACTATACCATAGAAGGTGTGTGGCCCGGGAAGGTTCCAGATTGAGGGGTACAAGAAAGGCATAAGCCAAGAAGAAGTAGAAAGGGACAGCATTGAACCCAAGAAATACTTAGGCTCAGTGATAATATTATCTTTTCAGCCAGCCACTATGTTCTTTTTGGGGAGCGGCTGGGCCTCTTTGGCCATGACCTGAACTCTGGCAGTCTAAAATTCGTCCATGCCTTGCATTCCATAATGAAGACCACCCCACAGCTCATGTATTTGCCCCGTGGCCTGACTCGCTGGACAAGTACCCGGGTGTGGAAAGAGAACTTTGAGTCATGGGATTTCATCTCTGAACAAGGTGAGGGCCACTGCCCTGGTCCAGGGACAACTGTCACATGAGTCTCATTCACCTTCATTTCCTTCAAAGGGATATGACTGCTAAGGCCCTTCCCCTGTGATTTCACAGTGAGTTCAGAGTTATAAGAGCCAACTGTGGTGGCTAACAGGCAGGAAAACTGAGGTGCTAGGGACTTGATAAGCTAGTCTGAGAGGCCTGACCCAGCAAAATGACTTCATGTTTTCTCCTTTTCTACAGTCACAAAATATATCAAGAATGTGTATCAAGAGGTGAGAAGTGTTCACCCACAGACCTGGAGTGTTTTATCGGAGCTGGTAGCAGAGGGTGCTCTGCCAATGGATGCCATCCAAACCAATTCTCTGGAACTCACTGCTGGAAGTGTGGACACGGTCAGGCCCATAGTAGCATAACTGCCACCCTGACATCCCCTGGGTTACCCTCCAAAGCGTAGTTCCTTCCTCACCTGGGTCATCATAGCCATTCTATGAGTATCCAGTTAAATGTCTGAAAAAAGGAAAGGGATGATAGCTGGAGAGTTTGTACAGAAGGCAGCTGGCTACTCATTACTTACTCCAAGGCATGAACATGCTGTGGGCCTAGGAGGATAGTGAGTGGCCCAGAGTACTCTCTTGGTTCATGGAGCAAGCACTCTTGTCAGTGGAATCTTGAGGCAGATTCAAGGAAAACAAGGCTTAGGAAGCAACAAACACCCAAGTTGCCTACTGATGCAGAAGAGAGAAGATCACAATGCAGTCACTTGGAAATGTTCATCCTGGTACAAATTTCCAGGCTGTCAAGAGACCCTTTTAGAAGAGACTGCTCTTGGAAAGATTAGGATCATATATTACAAGTTCTAGTTAAGAAAGAGCAAGAAAAGTGTCCACAATGCTCAAACAGTGCAGTAGTTTCTCTCAGGGAATGAGAACCAATATAGGGCTTGTGGGAGTGAGAAGACCAGAGAGCCCATTAAAAGGAGTCTGAAAAGACAGAGTTGTATGCACACTTGCCAATACTTAGGGATGCAGCAAGTTACCCAAACAGGGGACACAGGCCCAGTTCGGGCCAATTGGGATCTGGTCTCCATTAGTAAGAGCAAATAAGCCAGCATAAAATCAGTTTGATATGGCCAATGTGCAGCATGAAAAGTGATCAATGACTTCAGGGAGACCCCTAAGAAACGTCTTTTGTGGTCCACAGCATGGAAAGGGTATTTTGGATCTAGAGGCTCAGGATTTACACTATTCAGGAGGAGTCAGTGTAAAGATCTGTGACCTGTTATAGGTTTGTAAATAAGGGCAATGACCATGGACACATGGACAGCTGATGCAAATCATGTATTTGGGAAGGTAAGGGATGCACAGTTTCCTTTAGTGACACAGAGTCCATCTTAATGGGCATCAGATCAGGTTTTGACCACCCAACTCTGAAGATATTGAGGTGTTGGCCAGGAGTGGGGTGTCAGTGATTTTTTTTTCCTCACTTTTGTAGGGCAAGAATGTAAGGGGAACTTTTGAGGAAGAGGTATGGGCTTGAGGGTTCCACTTTGTTATAATCATGCACTACCACTAGGGAAGGCAATCTTATGGCAGAAATGCCATTAGGAGAGTCAGGCTTGGTGTCTACCATTCCTCTCTGTCCCTGCAGACAGCAGTGCCCTTGGTAATGACCCTGTTTGAGCTGGCTCGGAACCCAGATGTTCAGCAGGCAGTTCGGCAGGAGAGCCTGGCAGCTGAGGCCATCATTGCTGCAAATCCTCAGAGGGTTATGTCAGACCTGCCACTGTTGCAGGCTGCCCTTAAAGAGACCTTGAGGTGGGTGCCGGCTGCCCTTTTTCTGCTGTCCTGTTTCTCTCTTTTCTGGGGCTGAGAGCAGCCATGTCTGCTCTTCTACCTATGGCTGGATGCCTTTGTTCTTCTAGAGGTTGGCTGAGGCCAGGATAGCCAGGATTCACACTCCTGGGAGACCTGAGGGAAAAAGGTAGAGATGTGGACAGGGGAAGTCCTTCATAGCTGGGGTCACTTCTGTTCTGTCTCCAACTCCAGGCTCTATCCTGTTGCTGTCTTTTTGGAGAGAATTCTAAGCTCAGACTTAGTGCTTCAGAATTACCATGTCCCTGCTGGGGTGAGTGATCCTTATATGCCCACCAGTTGCCCTTTTCTGCTTCACCTCAAAGAGGCAGCTGACCTTGCCCTTGGCATCTGCCCACAGACAATCCTCCACATAAGTGTCTACTCCATGGGCAGAAACCCTGCTGTATTTCCAAGGCCAGAGTGCTACATGCCCCAGCGCTGGCTGGTAAGGAAAAGCAGTTTCCAGTACCTGACCTTCGGCTTTGGTGTGCGCCAGTGCCTGGGGAAGCGCCTGGCACAGGTGGAGATGATGCTCCTGTTGCACCATGTGAGCAGCTGGGGAGGGGCCAGTGGGATGGGTTGTGGCTGGATGGGTAGAGATGGGCAACTAAGACAGACCTGCAGAATTTATCACAGCCTAGGGTGTCTCGCTCACCAGAGCAGGAACCCAGTGAGGGAAGGGCAGTAGGTGCAATAGGATGGGACCTGCAAAGAACTGAGGGCAAACTGAGTCTACATAGGGCCTTAATGGGAGCTTGGTGGGTGGGTATGGTCTCTAGAGCAGGGCTAGGCTCTCAGGGCCCTACAGGAGGTCCTCTTTGCAGCATGGTGGCAGCACTTAGCAGTTTAGTGCATGTAGGCCATTGCTCAGGCCCTGCTGAGGATGCCAGATGGAGAGCCTCCCTTTTGTTCCAGGTGCTGAAATCCTTCAAGGTGGAGACACAGGAGCAAGAGGATGTGCAGATGGCCTACCGCTTTGTTTTGATGCCCAGCTCCAGCCCCCTCCTCACTTTAAGGCCTGTCAAGTAGTTGCAAACCCCTTTTTTGTGCCCCAGGTGGCCAGCAACTCCCTACTGTCCTGATGACATGCTATCCTCTATTCTCTTTTGGGGTACCAGGCCTGTAGCCATGGCTACCTTCTTTGTAGGCTGTAATTCAAGGACTGGAAATAGCTCTGGAGGATTACTGTCCCTTCTCAGCACCTCCCCCCGCCCCACAAGCACAGTCCCTATCTCCAACAGTGTTCATTCTAGTGAGCCTACATTCTGGCTTTGCCTTCCTCTCTTGTCACTAAAATCTTTGTTACTCTCTTCCTGAACCATCTCCTCAAGTCTAAAGTTTCTTTGTATTGCTTGAGTGTAGTGCAAAAGGAATTGAGCATCAGCTTGGACATCTCATGTCTCTAGGTAATGCCCAGGAGAATACTGGTGAGACATTCTCATGTTGAGGAGAGACAGAACTGGCCGTGTGTATGCTGCACACCCAAGACATCATGGGGTATGGCTGAGTCAGAGGCACAGTGGATGCTCAGTGATCACCCTCCATTCCAGACCATGAGCAGATCTTGAGGATGCTGAGAGGGCTAATGGCCTCAAGGTTGGCCAAAACAAAAACATAAAACAAAACAACAGCAACAAACCCAAACCAAACAAAAAACTTGGAGAAATGTTCTGGTAACACAAGGATCAGAAAATGTTTGGCAATTTCATAATGGTTCTTTAAACATTTCTGCTAAATGGATGAGTACATATTACAAGTCAGACTCACCTGGGGCATTTGGAGCAGCAGCATATAATACCTTTTAGCCACCATGTTCCTAGTCTACTCTACATACAGCACTGGCCAAAGCACAGTGCTCCATCAGTGATTGTCACAAACAGACCTCATAAGCTGAACTCACCATACCCTGTTTGCCTCTTTCCTTCTTTGCTGTCCTTATAAAATATGAAATTAACAGACCACTAGCTCCACCAACCTACAAGTCCAACATATCATCAGATATCATCATGATCTTATAGAAATGCTTACCCCATCTGCCTATCTGCCTCTCCATTGTGCCCACCAATGTATTTTTAATCTGCCTTGTTTATAACTCTCTTTGTTTGGTAAAACTACAAAACCCTCATGAAAATGTTTCCTTATGGTAACAAGGACTGTGTGGCAACAATCTAAATTTGTGTTCCCCACCATGGTCACTAAGAATGGCTCCAGAATAAACCATTTCTCATTCACTTTTAGGTTAGAGCTACAGGTGTGTGTGTGTGTACAATTATTCTTTGTAAACAATGTCATGATTCTGAGTCATTGTCATTCGTATTTAGAGACCTGTGAGAAGCCCCGTTACGTGTGGACATAGCTTTGCCTTTTCATATATATCATCCCTCCTTCTCTTTTGTATATAATCAAAAGGCTGGGGACATAAAATTATGATTCTAGAGTCCATATGTGACTGAGGTCACAGTGCACACCCCTTTCTCAGCTATGACAGTCAGACTTCAGACACACTGGTTTTCATCCCTATCTAAGTGACTTCCAGGTGTCAGGATTTATCACCCATGGAAGAGAGTTAACATGACAGTAGATATAGGCAGCTACAACTTGAAGTGATATCATGCCACTTCAACAAAATTATAAGCTTACATACATACATAAAACACAACATTACATAACCCCTATAAAATTAATAGCTTCCTAGAAGTCCAGTTTTAGGTAAAGTCCAGAACATAAGAATATATAGAGACAGGGAGTGCATTAGCACCAGCTGGTTAGTGCCTAAGGACAACTGAAATGGCTCTAGGCAGGGGTTGTGAATGATCCTGGTTTATTTTGAGAAAAAAGCATTTGAAAATGGATTACGGTGATGATGGGTACATCCATATACACAACATATAAATCACCTGTTTTTCCTGTACATGGAAGTTTTGGTCCCACCAGGTCCCACAGCTGTTCAGTCTCAAAAACACAGAGGGTAATGTTATTCTTAAATGTTTTGTCTATTGCTCGGACTAATTACTAATTAGCTCCTACAACTTAAATTAACCCATAATTATTATCTATGTTTTGCACTTGTCTTGGTACCTTTCCTCAGTAAGGCATTCTCATCTAGCTCCCTCTGTGTCTGGATGGTACTGACTTTCTGCCTTTTCTCTTCCCAGAATTCTTCTATTCTGGTTCCCCCATATATACTTCCTGCCTGGCTACTGGATAATCAGAGTTTTATTAACCCAATACAACTGAGGAAACTTTACAGTGTACAGGAACATTATCCCACAGTATTTCACACGTTAAATGGGTGACTGGGGCAGTATGTGATTTGTAACTTAAAAATCCATCAAAGCATAATGATCAGTGTAGCACAAAACAGGCATGGAACACTCATCTGTGTTAAGACAGGGATGGCAACACTCAGAAAATAAAATCCATACTTACACTCACAATGCTTGTAAGAAGGTGACACTGTTTGTTCTTGTCCACTTGGGTACTAAGCATGGGAAGCACCTGATTCTACATGCACTTGCAGTGCTAACTTGCAAATGTGATTGACCTTTACATGTGTAGGCTTCCTGAATGTTGGTAGCCTCAGCCCATTCTGTTGAGGGCCTTGTGAACAAAAAGAGAGAAGGGCCTTGATATGGGATTTTCCTCTGCACACTGCAACCTAGACACTCAGTTCTTCTAGCCTATGAGTTTAAGAATTTGACTCACAGCAGCCTTGTCAGACCAGACCTAACTAAACCCAAGCCTAATGCCCTGGGTCACAAATTTAGAGTGAACCAGACTTAAGAGAGAGCCAATTCTTTTTGGTTTGTTTGGTATATGGATTTCAAGACATGGGTACCTTTGTGTAGCTGGAGCTCTTCTAGAACTCACACTGTAGTCCAGAGTGGTATCCAACTAACAGAGATCTCTGACTCTATCTTCAAGTGTTGGATTAAAATCATGTGTCACTATATTCAGAGGCAAATTTTACAGGTATATCTCTCCATTTATCTCACTGATTAATTGACTCTTTCTGCTACATTCTGTAGCTGTTTTAGTGTGAATGCCTATACATACTTCCTGAACATTTTAGAGTACTGACACCCAAATAGGGCCACATGAACACACACATACACAGAAAATACAAATGTAATAAAAATTTGAAAATTAGCAAAGACCTGTCAAGGCTTAGCTAAGGGTAAGATATTGTCACTTCAATGAAAGCAGCTGGTGTGGGAGAGACAAGCAGTTGCTGAGTTATTTGTCACACAGCATATGGAAAAACAGATGTGACTATCAGGCCCAGTGGTTATTGTGCCACTTCTTGTCAGGCACAGTCCTTGTACCCTTCTCCTATAACATGAGACTGAAAGAATCTAGCAAGTACTCTGGTCACTAGAGCTTATCTGGGATGTGTCTTATTAGCCTACATACTGACTGACATCAGAACCATCAGAACATTTCTGTCTTTTGTTCAAAACATCCAAATACCAAGATGCTTTGTCCCTACATAGTGAAATGAGTATTTAGCTTACACTCTATAAAATGTGTCAAGCAGCTCAAACCGTGATCCTACAAAGGAACTCTTAAGAATATAGAAGAGGAAAGAGCTGGTCTATGTAGAGAGCCCAGGCTGAATGCTCTCAAACAACAAGAAAACATGGCTAGAGTGATTTTTCAGCAAACATCACTTTTATTTGTTTCTTATAACAAGCTATGAATGGGTCCAATAGATGCCCCAAATACAAGGAAACATCAAAGAACAAAATTGCTTACAACTGTTGGAAGATGATTACACCCCATGGAGAAGATTAAGGCAAGGCTCAGGAGAAGGTTGGACTCACCATAAACACTACTCTGGAAATCACAATTTCTTCAACCACAAGAGGAGGTAACAAGTCCCTCTCTTAATTTGTAGGTTCTCAACTGCCCGAGTAGCAGTTGGAATAGTATTGGTGCTTGGAAGACTTCTTGTCAAGTCGGTTGGTGGAGGCTGAAAAAGCTCAAAAGGACAGTTCCTCATACAATGTTTGTAGACTAAGAGCTCCCAAGAGTTCATACCTAGAAAGGATGCCAGCAGGTGAATTACCAACTTCATCTTCATTGTAAACTCAGCACCACAGCCAACCACAACCAGCCACATGGTTCATGCCTTGTAAACTCATATCCTACATCCCATGGTTCCCCCTCATCTAACCGTTGACTTCACCCTTCTTCTCAGCACCACCTATGCCCTTAAAATCCTTACTAGGTATTGACAGTTCAGCTCCACTTGCTCACGGTGTAAAAAAGTATTATTACAAAACAAGACATTACTAAGAACACTTAATAGAAAAGGTGCAGGTAGGACCCCCATTACCTGGTGTATGCATAAGAGGCCTCAGCTGGAGAGTGTCAGGCCCCAGCTAGATCCACCTATCAGCATGGAAACATCTTGAATCAGCCTAGTCCTTGACCCCCATCGCCAGGCCTCTGCTAGAGGTGAGGATGGGACCAATTCAGGTGGAATCCCCCCCATACCCTTCCCTGGGAACTCTCTGTATTGAGAGAATTCTCAATAGAGGAAATAAAAAAAGGCTGAAAGACATTTAATAAAGTGCTCAACATCTTTAGCTATCAAGGAAATGCAAATCAAAACAACTTTGAGATACCATCTTATTCCTGCCAGGATGGCTAAAATTAGAAACACCAATGACAGCTTATGTTGGAGAGGATGTGGAAAAAGGGGAACACTCCCACACTGCTGGTGGGAGTGCAAACTTGTACAGCCATTTTGGAGATCAGTATGGTGGTTCCTCAGGAAAAAGTGAATCAGTCTACAACAGAACCTGGCAAACTCCCTCTTAGGCAAATGATCCACATCCATGCAATGAAGACATGTGTTCAACTATGTTCATAGCAGCATTACTTGTAATAGCAAGAACATGGAAGCAACCTAGATGCCCCTCAACTGAAGAATGGATAAAGAAAACATAGCACAGCTACACAATGGAATAGTACTCTGCAGAGAAAAACAATGGAATCTTGAAATTCCCTGGCAAGTGGGTGGAGCTTGAAAAAATCACCCTGAATGAGGTAATCCAGTCACAAAAGAGGAAC